ATAGAAAATTCAAAAAGTAGCTTTTGTAGAACTAAAAAGTACCAAAAAGTTCCCTTTTATGTGTCCTGCCCTAATCCGGGCTCTACATAGTTAATTTCATGTTTCTTGGTTCAATATTATAAAAAATTCAAAAAGTACCAAGGCTCTACATGCTAAAGATCATGTTTCTACGTTCAATATTACAGAAAATTCAAAAATTACAGAAAATTGAAAAAGTGCCAAAAAGTCCTATTTTATACGTTCTAACTTAATCCGGACTCTACATGCTTAATTTCATATTTCTTGGTTCAATATTATATAAATTTCAAAAAGTACCTTTTGAATAACGAAAAAGTACCAAAAAGTCCCCTTTTATGGGTTCACACTTAATCCAGGCTCTACATAATTAAATTCAGGTTTCTAGGTTCAATATTATAGAAATTTCAAAAAGTACCTTTTGAAGAACGAAAAAGTACCAAAAAGTTCCCTTTTATGTGTCCTGGCCTAATCCGGGCTCTACATAGTTAATTTCATGTTTCTTGGTTCAATATTATAAAAAATTCAAAAAGTACCAAGGCTCTACATGCTAAAGATCATGTTTCTACGTTCAATATTACAGAAAATTCAAAAATTACAGAAAATTGAAAAAGTGCCAAAAAGTCCTATTTTATACGTTCTAACTTAATCCGGACTCTACATGCTTATTTCATATTTCTTGGTTCAATATTATATAAATTTCAAAAAGTACCTTTTGAATAACGAAAAAGTACCAAAAAGTCCCCTTTTATGGGTTCACACTTAATCCAGGCTCTACATAATTAAATTCATGTTTCTAGGTTCAATATTATAGAAATTTCAAAAAGTACCTTTTGAAGAACGAAAAAGTACCAAAAAGTTCCCTTTTATGGGTTCTCATTTTATCCATACTCTACATACTTAATTTCATGTTTCTAGGTTCAATATTATAGAAAATTCAGATAGTACCTTTTGTAGAACGAAAAAGTACCAAAAAGTCCCTTTTTATAGGTTCTTACCTAGTCAAAGCCCTACATGCTAAATTTCATGTTTCTAGGTTCAATATTATAGAAAATTCAAAAAGTACCTTTTGTAGAAAGAAAAAAGTACCAAAAAGGCCCCTTTTATAGTTTCTTACCTAGTCAAGGCCCTACATGCTAAATTTCATGTTTTTAGGTTCAATATTATCGAAAATTCAAAAAGTACGTTTTGTAGAACAAAAAGTCCCCTTTAATGTGTTCTCGCCTAATCCTGGCTCTACATACTTAGTATCATGTTTCTAGCCAATAACAACGTAACGTAACGTGATGTTCATTCTTTGCTTTGTGTTGATAAACAAGAAATTAAAATAACAAAAACATTAACCGTTTGATACTGTATTTTGTTTTTGTTTGTTTATTGTTTCTGTATAAGCATGCACGAAAAATGTAGATTTTTGATTAAATTTTCAGAGGGGATCTCGGATTTTTACTCATATCTTCGTTATTTATGGGCCGATTGGGCTGATTTTAAATAGCGATCGTATTTCCGATAGAATTATTGAAAATTCGGATCTCGCAGATATCTGGGGTCTTCTAAAAACTGATTTCAACATACACACAGACAAACAAACTGATCGACAGACGGACATGGCTAAATCGACTCCGTTATCTATAAGGATCCAGAATATATATACTTTATATGGTCGGAAAATTATATTAATATATTCTCACGAAGGTGAAGGGTATAATAAAAAACAATATAAACAAGTAAGATAGTATAGTCGGGCTTGGCCGACCATATGATACCCTACACAAGTTATGAATATTAAATGTGATTTATTTTTCATAATAATTCATTGTTCTGATACATTTAAGCAATTTTTGGATGAAAAGCTAATTTTCTGAAAGAGGCTTTATATGGGGGCTAGGGGCAAATATGGACCAAGCCCGATAAAGTTTTGTGAATATATTTATATAATATTTATTTGTTCTGAATTTCATCGCGATATTTGTGTTTATAATTTAATTTGCACATTCAAGTAATTTTCTTAAGGGGACTTTGTATGGGAGCTAGGGTCAAATGAGGCCCGATCTTTATGAAATTTGGCAAGGTCATCAAGGCTTGTATAAAACTTAGTTGTGCCGCTTTTTATCGATATACAGTTATATTTAACATAGTTACGAGCGATATACATATCTTTCCCTGATTTCATTAAAAAAATGGAATCTATTTCTATGTCATATAGTGATATAGCAATTCTGAGAGATTTTATCTCCAATCTGCTTAATGAATTTGCAGAATCTTTTCTTAAATTCGCCATGGGGGCGATAGGGCTCACTCCTACTTATGCTAAAGTACCATGCAGCAACATGTAGCACACTACTTGATTTTATTTTCGTCGGAGACCCATCTAAAGTACTTCTCTACGATCAATTAACAGCTTTTAGTTTCTCAAAACATGATTTAATTTATGTAACATTCGATCTCCAATTGCATCAGGAAAATAAAGTACTTTTTCATCGGGATTTTAAAGACATTAATTATAACTTTCTGATTAATACTTTTTGCACCATTTATTGGTTTAATATATATCGTATGGTTCGGCAGGTGAATAGTTAAATTTCTTAGATAGGAACATTACATGCCTTACGACGGTGGAAAAGATAAAAATTACACCCAAGAAGAAACCATAGTTCACGCATGGGATTCAGGAGGCAATACGGCGTAGAGACATCATATAGACTTTCGTGTTGCTACATAGAAGTGATATTAACAAAAAAAATCCAGATAGCTAAGACTAACTTCTATGCCCAAAAGTTTAGCTTTGCAATTGATTCGAAGAACACATGGAAGACTATCAAAGATATAGAAATTGGTAAAAGTGATAAATACGAAACTTGTCCTATTGAACCTAATGAGTTGAACAAAATCTTCATAAACCTCCATGTTGATGACAACATACATCCAAAATTCATAAGGATAATTTTTCCTTTCTACTGCCGTACATTCATCTTTTTAACACAATTATTACAACTAGCAAATTTAACATTCTTGCATTAACAGTATTTCCCGACCACTCTAAGGCTTTTGATACACTTGGCCACCAAACTCTGTGTTCAAAATTGAAATTTTAACTTTTCTAACACATCTACGAAACTAATACATATCATCGTATCTTTCGGAACGTACACAATCTGTTTATGCTAATAACATAGAAGGGAGTACCTCAAGGTTCGGTTCTGGGACCACTATTATTTTCAATTTATGCCAACGATCTGTCTGATCAACTTTCCCTCCGCAAAGTACATATATACATATGTATGTATGCTGCCGACGTTCAGTTATATAGCAGAAGTCTAGCAATATCTCTTCCGAAAACGTTAATAAAATGAACAACGTTATCAACAGAATACATTGCTGGACAAAGGAAAATGGGCTCTGCCTTAATCTGCAAAAACCAAAATGTCATAAAAAAAATCCAAAAAATTTGGTTTTACTTTCTTTACTCAAAAAAATATTTAAGCAAAGATAGTAAATGAGGAAATATTTGAATTTGAACACGGTGATGACATTGAAGGCAAGTACTTACCTCGCTCGCTTACAAATTGGGAGTTAGTTAAGTACTTCCTACGATCGCCTACAAATATGGAGTTAAGTAGTTTCCATTAAAAAAAGCATATGAGGATACGTCCAACCATTAGTACCATTAGTATTCAAAAATATTTTTTTTCGTTTGTGTAATAAAAAAATTCGAAAACAATTTGTTAAGGATAAGAAGTACTTACATATTATATTATTTGTAAGTCATTATGAGGCTCCTTCTAAGTAATGCAGACTTAGAATGACAGTATGTTTTTGCTAGGTATGTACATAATATATGTATTTTTTTGGACTTAAATTGCAATATACTTCAATGTTTGAATTAACTTGTAATAACATGGTAATGTTCGACTTGTTACCTATTCACTGCAGAATGCTATTGAATTAAAGGGTATTTCAACACTTTAAATTTGAAAATCTGACTGGAATTTAGTTCCTTTTATACTTGAATAGCAGGAAAATAGCTTATTGGGGAATGTGGGGTTTTCTCTAAAATCAATAGAATTCGAAAATTTTATACTTTAACTTTATTTGGACTTAAAAATATTGGCTTAAATGTTTTTTGAGTGATCAAGAAACATAACAAAATATATAATTTTTTAATAAAATTCGACGAATTTCGACCCATAAATAAGGATTATACAACTTCAGAATATAACAAAAAACTTTTCATTCTTATAAAAAACCCTTGACGAGGAACAACTTTCTAAACACACTCAAATAACTTGAGAAGTCATAGTTTGGGTTACGGATTCATAACATGGAGCCACGAATTGGAAAGTCGACCGTGAGTCGAATAGTTCTCCAAACATGTGACGTGTTTTGGCAAGTACTTTCACCAATTTACCTCAGTGTACCCACTACTCAGCAATATAAGGACATCGAAAGAGATTTCAATACTACTTAGGTATAAATTCGATATAAAAAACGTAATTATAACGAAAAATACACTAGACTATATTAGAAATACATTATTTTCGATTCTCTGTAAATTCTATTATTATGTTGATATAGGGATATTCCCACACTACTGCATAGGTAACGCTGTTTTTCTCGGATCAAATTAGGATACAAAAAAACTATATAATTGAAAATTACTTTGAAATATTATGTGCTTGTAGGAGAATACTATTGAAAACAATCGAAGGCAACGGGCAATGTAGATGTTGTACTTGCATGCAATGTTATTCATAACTTCACTAACGGCACGGTCCAAAAAGAAGAAGGAAAATAATGTCGAAAGACCTGTGCGATCCTTCGCAACAAATTTTCGAAGATCTACCAAAACAGCAATGATAGGTAGGTAGAATATTTTGGTACTGAAGATACATTGTCATTACAATACAGAATGACATAATTACACAATTATAAATTCGAGCCCAAATCACTTAATTTCGACTCGGTCTGAATGAATGAATATACCATGAAATTTCACAATGACTTTATTTAAACGACAAAATTAACATTACATTATCAATAAGAAATAACAAATAGTTAAAAATCCCCTTTTTGTTTTTAGTACCCCTAAATTCTGAACATATTTACAAATTTATGTACATTTTAACTTATATTAAGTAAAGTATTTAACCAAAAATAAAACATCACAATAAAACGTATTTATGCATAATAATATAACAATATTTAACGCTCATTTCAAAGAACATTAATTCTTTTGACCTGTTAATCCTCCTAGAATTTGTTTAACGAAATTTTTTAATTCTAAAGGATCCTCGTTGTTAAAATCATCCATAACCATTTGCATTTGATCTTTAAGGCCATCTGATATCGATGTAGTAATCCGATCCTTGAATAAATTTGTTATAGGACTTAAAATTACTCCGGTCAAGTGCCTAATGAATCGTGTTTGATCCAACTGCACTTGAATATTTCTGAAACAAGAAAAATTAAGAAATTAATCTAATTGATTTTATCATTGAACAGACATGTGTTTAATTTAGAAACCTTATATACACTAGCTCAATAAAGTTTACGTACAATATTAAAAATTTAGTTTTCTTTGATAGAATGCAATATTTATAAAAATAACTATTAATATTAAAAAATAATTCACAAACTTTCTGGACTTAATACAAATTTATATACGCAAAACATAATTCAGTCTTAAAAATAACACAAAAAAGTGCACAAACATACAGTTAATTTTAAAATATTATTCTCGATTTATCTGTCTCAATTTTGACCCATTCCTCAACTAAAGGGGTTCCTTGGTAGATATTTTATTTTTTCGTACACGTGTGTCCAATTTATCCCAAATATTTTCAATTGGATTCAAATTCGGCAATTGGGGCGGAGAATGTAGTTGTTTTGGGACGTTTTGCAGTTACCATTCCTTTAGAATTTGTAAAGTATGTTTCGAATCGTTACCTTGCTGGAAGATACATTTGCCTGAAATACATTTTCTTAGCGGATGACCTCAAATTTCTTTCAAAAGATTTAAATAGATAAAAAAATCAACGAAGACCAAGTTTCCTACTCCAGCAACTGAAATACTCCCCAGTGTTTCACTGTTGATAATAAATTTTTAGTTTCCATTTCCTTGTTAGATTTTCTCCAGACTCTGAGCTTTCCATCGTATCCGAATATATTATATTTAGACTCATCTAATACCATATTTTTTGTGGAGATTAGCAAATTCGAGGCGTTTTTAACTTCTTTAATAAATGGTTTTTTCTTGGAATATTGTTGGCAATGCCAAGAAGTAATACCGGCGTTGCAATTTGTAAAAGCTCTGTAGTTTAAACAACTGTCAAACTGCATTGCTAATTAATATTCATTCTAAGCTTGAGATTTATATCGTAAACATTAACTTAATAAAAGACTAAATTCATACATACATATCTTCACTTTGTTTTTACTTAAACATATACACATTTAAAGATAAAAACACAACAAGTGGCGACGAGGACAAAAATGGCAACAAGATCTTTGGACAATGTTGTTGGAGAAATTTTGGTTCGCCAACAGGAGTCAATAGACAAACAACAAAGGTTGATGGAGATGCTTATCAACATAACACAAAACAGTGGTTCCGCCCAAGCTTCTAATTCATCGACACCGGCATCTTGTTTATCCACTGCACCTGAGGCCTTAATGGATATAATATCTAAAAATATTCGTGAGTTCGTATATGAACCGGAAGATGGCCAAATATTTTCAACGTGGTATGACAGATACGAGGACATTTTTGTAACCGAAGCACAAGAGCTTGACGACGCATCAAAAGTTAGGTTATTGCTGAGAAAAGTAAGTACGGAGGTATTCAATAAATATAAGAATTACTTGCTACCCAGGAAGCCTCGAGACGTTACATTTGCTGAAACGCTCGAAATCCTAAAAAAATTATTTGGCAGAAAAGAAAGTTTATTTAATTTACGGGTAAAGTGTATGCAAAATGTAAGAGGTGAAATGGAAGATATTGTAAGTTATGCCGCCATTGTTAACCGCCATTGCGAAAATTTTTTATTAAACAAATGCAGTGCAGACAACTTTAAATGTTTAATATTCGTTTAAAGATGGAAAAGGACAGAGAAATAAAAGCTAGACTCTTAACCTTACTTGAAAATGAAACAGAGACAGCACCAATTACAATAGACAAATTGGTAGCAGAAATTCAACGAATTGAATGTTTAAAACGTGACGTCACTGTTGAAGAAAATAACCAAACAAATATTAATGCAATTAAATCGTCAAATTTTTCAGAACACAAATCTCAAATGCCAAAGCGTCCCTGTTGGCAATGTGGCCAAATGCATTTCGTACGTGACTGCAAATACACAAATCACAAATGCAGTCTATGCAACCGAATGGGCCACAAAGAAGGTTTCTGCTCATGTTTTCCTGAAAAAAATAGCCGCCAAAACAAATCGAAAAATAAATTTAACAAAAAGAATTATATAAAAAGCGTGCACACAGGTAAAACCTCAATCAAAAGCCGAAGATATGTCAGTTAACTTATTAATAATATAAGAGTTAAATTACAACACGATACTGGATCCGATGTTACAATAATTTCTAAACAAATATGGATAAAACTCGGTAAGCCACCATTACATACAACAAATTTAAAACCCCAGGATGCTTCAGCAAACAGCATAAATATTTTAGGAGATTTTGATGCAATGGTATCTATAAATAACACAGACATTATTTGTAGCATTTTGGTTTCCTCTATTCCAAATTTAAATCTTTTTGGGTCTGACCCAATCGACAAATTTAATTTGTGGCATAAACCTGTCGATTCGTATACATCATGTAAAAACATAAATCTCAAAGGTACGCTAACACCAATGGATCTACGTCAACAATTTCTGGATGTCTTTAGGGAGGAAATCGGACATGTCAAAAATTTTAAAATTCATCTGCCATTAAAACAAAACGCTGTTCCAGTATTCCGCCCCAAACGACAGGTAGCATACGCCGTAAAGCAATCTCTGGACGAAACGCTTGACACTTTGGAGCGAGAAGGCATTATCACCCCAGTAAACTATTCAGAATGGGCCGCTCCGATTGTTGTGGTAAAAAAATCATCTGGTAAGCTTAGAATCTGTGGTGATTATTCTACAGGACTCAGCGCTCAGCTTGAGCCACACAATTTTCCGTTGCCCCTACCAGATGATATATTTGTAAATTTCAATAATTGCTCATCATTTTCAATTATAGACCTAAACAACGCCTACATGCAGCTGGAGGTGGATAACGAAACGAAAAAGTTATTGGTGGTTAATACTCACCGTGGTCTTTACACATTTAATCGTCTTGCTCAAGGAGTTAAATCCGCACCAGGCGCATTTCAGCAGGCCATACAAACCATACTTTCCGGTGTTGAAGGTGCGTACCCTTATTTGGATGATGTGGTCATCGCAACAAAAACACGTGATCAAAACGAAAAAGTAGTAAAACTTGTTTTAGAACGGTTGAAGAAGTATAACATGACAGTAAATTTTGAAAAATGTAAATTTTTTAAATCGTCATGTACTTATCTGGGATATCACATTGATAGCAAGGGCATATCTCCAGATAAAAACAAAATCAAACAAATTCGTCAATTACCACCACCTACAAATATCAGCCAATTGCGGTCGTACTTAGGAGCAGTCAACTACTACGGCAAATTTCTTCCAGACATGCGAAAACTAAGAGACCCGTTAGACAAACTTTTGAAGAAAAACGTAAAATGGAATTGGTCGAACGAATGTCAACAAAGTTTTCAACGTTTCAAACAACTTTTATGTTCCGATTTGTTGCTGACGTATTTTGACCCACGACTTCAAATCAAAGTAGCTGCAGATGCTTCAAATGTTGGCCTGGGGGCATATATATGTCATGTATTCCCAAATGGAAGTGAGAAAGCAATATATCATTGCTCAAGAGCACTTACCTCGGCGGAAAAAAATTATTCCCAAATTGAGAAAGAAGCGCTTGTGTTTGCTGTTGTGAAATTTCATAAATACCTGTACGGAAGAAAATTTATCCTCCAAACCGACCATAAGCCACTATTGGCTATATTTTCAAGTAAAAAGGGAATTCCTGCGCACTCCGAAAATCGCCTTCAACGTTGGGCATTAACACTAATGTCTTACGATTTTGAACTACAATATGTATCAACAAATAATTTTGGCGCTGCCGATATTTTATCGAGACTGATTGATACGCCCCAAAACCAAATGAAGAAACGGTGATAACCTGCATTCAGCTAGAGAAGGACATCAAGTTGGTGATTGATGATGCCACAAAATCTCTACCCGTCACTTTCAATATGATTCGTGCTGCCACTGAAAAAGATGATGAACTTCAAACCGTTATAAGCCACCTAAAATTTGGTAAGTGGCCCAAAATAATTGATTCATATTAAAAAAATTATTTCTCACGAAAAGACAATTTGAGTATTGCCAGCGACTGTTTGATGTATGCACACAGAGAAAAAACATGCTTGCGGTAACCACGTTCTAAGAGCAACATATTATGGTTAAAATTATGATTGTAGTCTAAACATATTATCGTTATTGTAACAATTTTAAAATATCATATTATGATTATATACCGTGGAAATATTTTATCATAATATTTTTCTATTTATCGTAATATTGTTATACATGATCATATTACAATCCAATGTGATCAAAATTTCGTTTATATGTATCGAAATCAAAATAAATTTTACTGAATTAGTAAAATTACAGTTCCTAAAAAAAAGTAAAAAATATATATAAATATATTATACTTACAATACTTAACACAATTCGCAAATTTCAATTTGCTTCACAAAAACATAACTACATTATTTTATACAAACTGAAATACTTATACGTTTATTGTTATAAACCAAATAAGAATTATTTCAACTCATTTTATTGTCGCGTAAAAAAACACACAACGAAAAAGTAATCTGCATGAGTAAATGTTTGTGGCAAAAGTTGTTTTGTTGTTGAATTCATTTGTTGTTGTATCAGCAGACATATAACAACATAACATATAATAGTTATTTATAACAACATAACATACAATGGTTATATAACATAACATATAATGGTTACAAATGGTTGTAAATAACATAATATGTTTTCATTGTTATCATTATTTAGTTGTTGTAAAAATAATTATTTTCCAGTGAATCATACTCAAATTTATAATTGCCTTGAACATGAAAATGTTTACAGTAACTAAAATATTGTTAAAATCTAATTAAAATAACAATTATATGTTTTTGAAAACAATATATTGTTACAGTAAATATGGGATAGTTGTAGTAACCATTTTGAACCATGTTTTTTCTCTGCGTGTGGTGATAGAATTGTCATACCTAAATGTTTCAGAAATAAAATTTTAAAAGAATTGCACAAGGCTCACGATGGCATTGAAAGAACAAAAATGTTGGCAAGAAGTTATGTATATTGGCCGCAAATAGATGAGGACATAAAAAAATACGTTCAAAATTGTTCTAAATGTTCAGTAGTTGCAAAAACACTGTCAAAAACTACATTAGCATCCTGGCCAATTGCTAACAGACCAATGCAACGGATCCATATGGACATAGCCGGTCCCGTGGATAATTTTTACTATTTTATTATTGTGGACGCATACTCTAAGTGGCCCCAAATATATCAAATTAAATCAATTTCATCTGCCATTATAATTGACTGCCTTCGAGATTTTACAACTGCATTTGGTAATCCAGAATTGATTGTGAGTGATAATGGCACCAAATTTTCAAGCCAGTTATTTGCCACATTTTGCATAGAAAACGAAATACAACACATATTTACAGCGCCTTACCACCCACAATCAAATGGACAAGCCGAAAGATTTGTGGATACCTTAAAAAGAGCATTAAAAAAATTAGAAGGGTCAGGAACAGCAAAAGCCAATCTAAATACTTTCCTCCAGTGTTATCGGTCTACTCCAAATAAAGCTACGGGAAAAACTCCGTCTGAATTGTTCGTGGGAAGGAAAATTAGAATAAACCTTGACTTGCTACACAAACCTAATGTGGATATCCTAATTCGTAACCAGAAAATGGAATCTCAGTTTAATAACCAATATGGAGCTAAACAAAGAATCTACGATATTGGACAACAAGTGTTAGCAAAGGTATACAAGAGAAATGAAATGAAATGGACCCCCGGAATAATTACAAATAAGATCGGTAAAGTTATGTACGAGGTAAAACTTAATTCATCACATTCCAGAATCGTTCGATGTCATGTTAACCAATTAAGACCAAATTTTTCCAAATGCCCTGAATCGAACACTTCATCATTAACAGATCTTTTAGATTGTTTTGACTTACAACCAATATCTTTTAATCATTTAGAAACCACAAATGCTGCTGAACGAATGGATGTTGGTCAGGAAGATTTTGAACAACAACATAATCCAAATTATATTTCAACAGAACACCAAGTTGCTGAACCATCGTCGTGTATTCCAGTAGAAGCTCCAGCATCACATCAGCCCGCAGAACAACTTTCGTCTAGCCAATCTCCTCAAACAACTCAACCATTTGTAAGTCCTACTCCACCTCTTGAATCTAATGTTGCTGCTGACTCAAATGTGAAATTAAGAAGGTCAAGTCGAAATCGAAAGCCTCCGTATTGGGCCCCATATTATATATCTAAAACAAAGGGAGATGTTGGCAATGCCAAGAAGTAATACCGGCGTTGCAATTTGTAAAAGCTCTGTAGTTTAAACAACTGTCAAACTGCATTGCTAATTAATATTCATTCTAAGCTTGAGATTTATATCGTAAACATTAACTTAATAAAAGACTAAATTCATACATACATATCTTCACTTTGTTTTTACTTAAACATATACACATTTAAAGATAAAAACACAACAAATATGAATGTGAAAATTTTTGGTCCTTAATACATTTCACACAGTTTCAGGATGAATACTAATGTGGTTAGTATTTTCAATATCTTTTGAGATATTAACGGCACTTATTCTGCATTCATTTGCTATGAGTCAGAGAATATTACGTTTGTCTCTCTCTCTCTGATAGCTTGCTTGGTCTACCTGATCTGGTCTTATTTTCTGCTGTATTAGTTCTATTGTAATATTTTACAATTGTTTGAGCTGTTGAACGACTTATGTATGCCTTAACAAACGTATTGTAATATTCTTAAACGTATTTTTAAAACAACATAAGAACTAATATCAAAACATACCTGAATTGAATAACACGAAAATCGTATAATTTCATCTTAAATGTTAAAATGTCAACCGCTAATTCAGCATAGATTACTACGTCCTCCAGAGATCCAATTACTTTTCCAAATCCTTCTAAGGCCATGAGTTTTAACAAAAAGTTGTATTCGAACTGAAATGAAAAAGTTTTTCAGTAAATCGGAAATTATAAAAAATCATGTTAATTATAGGTGCCTAAACAATTATTCTTCTACAGTGTTTTTGGTCTACAATATCCCCTTTAGGAAATATTGAACGGATCACCTATTTCATTCTATTTGTAGGCATTTCTTTCAAATTTATTATACAAATTTGAAAAAATAGTAAATTTATAAATATGTACATATAATTCCATTAATAATCTTCTCAGTCCTAGAGAAATCCTATGCTGATAGAAAATCTTATGCAACAAGTTTTGATGTGCCTATGCAATTCCAAGGGGATATTTATATAGGAGATAAGTTAAATTATAGACCGTTTTAATAATTTTCATTTAGCTTGGTTTGGTCACATATAGAGGAATTCCATTTTAAATTTAAAAGATTTTTCCCATAGTCACCGATATGGACAAAACTTTGTAAACACACAAAGGAAGGTCCACGAGGAAGGTCCTATAGCTTTAAAAGTGCTTAACACTTTTGTGAAAAGTGCCATAACTTTTTACGTGTTAAAAAAAGATAATTAAAATGTGGCCACATTGGTTTCCTCGCATTCTTCAAAAATTTAGATTGGGATGAAAAATTGTGTGTGTTGTACAATTTCGTGCAGAGATGGGAAAAATATTAAAAAATTTTAAATTCTTAAAATTAAAAAAATATATTTAAATTTAAAAAATGTAAAATTTGGCACAGCCGAATATATGTATGTATACCCACGAACAAATTACATTGAAAAGTTGAGTCCGACCGAACTCAAAATTTCGTTCGGTACCGAACACCGAATCCGAACTTCAGTAAATTTGAAAGTTTGTTCGGTTTTCAAAGTTCGGTGAACACGAACTTTTTTTAAATGAAAAATAATACTTTTTTATTTTTGGTTTTTAAACGATTTATTGACAATGATATAATTATCTGTAAGAGCACGCTGAGAAAAAACATGGTTGTGATAACCATGTTCTAAGAGCAACATATTATGATTAAAATTATGATTGTAGTCTAAACATATTATCGTTATTGTAACAATTTTAAAATATCATATGATTAAATACCGTCAAAATATTTCATCATGATATTTTTGTATTTATCATAATATTGTTATACATGATATTATGATCCAATGTGATCAAAATTTCGTTTTAAATATGTATCGAAATGAAAATGAATTTTATCGAATCAGTAAAATTAGTTTTTAAAAAAATAAAAAATATATATACAATACTTAACACAATTCGCAAATTTGAATTTGCCAATTTATATGAAATTTTGGTTCATACAAAAATTTAAGTATAATTTCATAAAAATACTAGTATTTTTACGCCTGTTATGAACGTTAGTAATTTTCTAAAGCGAACATTATATGGAGGCCATGTCCAAATGTAAACCGATTTTGTCCATTTTGAATACCTATCAAACTGCAACAATAGTTTAGGTCCTATTGTTCTTTCAAGAGACTGACTGACTGACAGTCATGTCTAGATCGTTTGAGAATAAGAACCTAGAAAATTTCGATGTTACAAATGAAATCAAAGATTTATAATCGAAACTAGATAATTCAAATTAAATGTTTGACTTTTCTTAGCTTTTTAATCAATTCCTGGTTAACAGTTTTTCAAATCAGCCGAAAAAACGAACGGTTAAAAGGGCGTTTTGTACCTATGTATATCCGAAATTTATTGTACAGCCAGGATGTATGATAACTTCTGTAAACAGATTTTCAGCATTTTTAAAACTTTTTGATGATATAAAAATATGATAAACATTTTATAAAAATTTCGGCGTTCGGTCAAAATTTCGCCGAACACCGAACGTTCGGTCGGACACTATTTAAAAGTAATGAGTTAAAATGCTAATAAAATCTCTTTTCACTATTTCTTCATTAGCGTTCTAACTCATTATTTTAACACGGCGATGACATTGAAAGCAAGCACTTACCACGTTCGCTTACAAAGAAGTTGTGATTTGGACCTTCAAGTCATTTCCTGAAGGGGACTTTGTATGGCGGCTAGGGTCAAATGAATCCCGAATATTCACATGATACAATTATTCGTAATTCACGCTCTCATTCAACCCCCAATTACATAACGAAAGACATGATTGGCCATACAAAATTTCACCTGCAAATTACACAAGCGTAATTCAGTTTGAAATACGTACGAATTACGAATTAATAAGTGTCATCTCTAATTTTATCGGGTATTTATCATAATCAGCTGTTTGCTTTCATTGGTTGGAGACAAATAAAAAATAAAATAAAAAAAATGCAAATAAATTGAAAATATATAACTTAATTTATTAAAATAATGTAACAAACGCATTTTTGTTACATTACACACACACTAATATTCCAAAAAATTACAAAATAATGAATGAAAAAAAAAATAACATGGCTATGAACTGTCAAAACGAATTACGAATGTGTCGTAGAATTGGGTTAATTGGCTATCGTCTTTCAGAGGGCGAATTAAGTAATTCAACTGGCCGTGTGAACTTGGTATTAGATTTATAAGGAGGGAGACCGAAAAACTCTTAACACACGTTTTTCCTTAAAACTTTTAACCCAAATATTATTTGATTATTTTTTTGATCAAGTTACCTTAAAGTTATTATGTTTGATGCCAATTATATTCATTTGTTGTTCATCTGATTAAAATGCGTGACCAGAAAAAAGTGTGTACTAAAATGTTTTAATTTTTTCAACAAAACCCAAATTGGTCCTACAAAAAGTTGGCCAAGCATTCAAAGGTCTGCCGTAAACTGTTTCCAATGTTATTTAACTGTACCGGAAGAATTTGTCCGTTGATAGAAAACCTGGTTTAGGTAGAAGGAATGTTCCACATGATGTTTCTAAAGTCAAAAAGTAGGAAGCATTTTCAAAAGCAAAAAGTTCTTGGTATGGTAAAGTAAAAAAATTAAAACTGTAAGTTTAGTGGTTTCGTTGTTATTAACATAAATGTATGTTGAGAATTTTTCGATCACACTCCTTATCTATATAAACAAAAATCAATGTATGTTTCTTTGTACCTTATAGGAGGCTAAACTACTGAACCTATCGTCTTGAAATTTTCACTGTGTGTTCCTCTATATCTGGAAGGAACAATAGTCCTCAAATTTTGCAGTACCGAATATTACATTCATATGAATATTTGCTAGAATAGGCTTGCCAGATTTGAAATCAACAAAAAACGTACATCGTAGTTAAAAAAGCAGTACAATTGAGTAGAAACAAGTTAGAGTGCTATATTCGGCTGAGCCGAATCTTAAATACCCTCCATCAGCTACTTTTATATTAATACTTTTCTAATTGATCAAATATTTGTAGAAATAACTTTTCTCATATCTTAAATAGAAAAATCCCTAGATTCAAACAGCTCAAATCTATTACAATTCCAAGATTTATTGAACATTACCAACGCTTGGCGATTTTTATTAATTTGCATGTATGCATGTGTGTGAAAGATTTAAGGATTTTCAAAATACATATATATAATTTTGTTCTACACAAATTGATAATGCAACTAGTTAAATACGGTTTTAGGGGCAGGACCTAGTATGGAAGATATGACCAATTATAGATATATTTCAGTAAAATTCTGTATCTATATCGTAATTTAGTAATAAGTAATGTGTGTTATGAACCGATCGTGCAAAAATCTTGAAATAGAATTTTTGTATCAATAGCTTTATTTGGTAATGAGTAATGTGCATTTAAGAGATTTTCGAAAGAGGACCTTGTATAGGAGCTATGACCAATTGTGTATATAAAAACAAAATTTCAAAATTCTGTATCTATATCATTATTTGGTAATGAATATTGTACAATTAAGTAATTTTCTGGAGGGGGCCTAGTATGAGAGCTACGACCAAGTATGGACCGATCGTAAAACAATTTTATAGTGTAATTTATGTATATAAGAGCAATATTTGTGCTAAGTGTATGGATATCAATATTTTGTAATGAAATATGTGCGTTTATGTGATTTTCGGGAGGGAACCTTGCATGGGAGCTATGACCAAGGATGGACCGATAGGAAAAAAATTTTACAGTAATATTTCTGTGCATATGTGCAATACTTGTACCAAATTTTAAATGGATATCCTAATTTAGTAATGAGTTATGCGCGTTTAAGTGATTTTCGGGAAGGGACCTTGTATGGGAGCTATGACCAATTATGGACCGATCGGAAAAAAATTTCACAGTAATATTTCTGTATGTGAGAGTAATACATGTACCAAATTTTATATGGATATCTTAATTTTGTAATAAGTTATGCGCGTTTAAGTGATTTTAGGGATGGGAGCTATGACCAATAATGAACCGATCGGAAAAAAATTTCACAATAATATTTCTGTTCACATGAGTAATACATGTACCAAATTTTATATGGATGTCTTATGTTAGTAATGAGTTATGCGCGTTTAAGTGATTTTCGGGAGGGGACCTTGTATGGGAGCTATGACCAATTATGGACCGATGGAAAAAAAAATTTCACAGTAATACTTCTGTATGTGAGGGCAATACTTGTACCAAATTTTATATAGATAACTTGATTTAGAAATGAATTATTTGCGTTTAAGTTATTTTCGGGAGGGGACCTTGTATGGGAGCTATGTCCAATTATGGACCGATCCAGAAAATTTTTTCTCTGAATGAATTCTATTTACATAAGATTTTAATTTGTAAAATTTTGTAAAGATTTCGACATTGTGACGGAAGTTATTAACAAAAATCCTATTTTCCGGGAATATGTACTTTTGTATGGGAGGTATATGAAATTGTGGACCGATTCTGGCAATTTTCAGCAGGAGTCAAGCTCTTATGTAGAAACGAATGTATGCTGATTTTCATGGAATTATCTTTCATAGTTTTCGAGAAAATTACATCAGAATGTGTAAAAAATGCTTATTTTTTTCGAGGTTGTTTCAAATTTTGATTCATAACTTTTCCCGGTGTAAACCGATTTTACTCATTTTCAATACCAAACTGCCTAGGACAATAATAAATATTTTGGGTGAATTTCGTTAATTTTTATTTTTAAAAAAATTCAATTAAATTGTTCTAAAAACGCTATATTGATATAGGTTGTTATGATTTTTCTCAACAAACTCAATTGAAAACTAATATATGAGAAATAAATTTATAATTAATCCAATTACAAATCATTTTTTAATATTCGTGTGTTATTAATTTATATTTTTTCTTTAAAAAATGTCGAATTCACCAAATTTTTGTTTTGTTTGGTTTGTTTACATTTTCAAATATCAATAATTTGTTGTGAACATTCATATGTTTGATATCTTTTACTGGAGAAAAAATATCCAGTAAAAAATTCTCTATCAACGAACTGTCATATTTATCATTCTAATACTCTCTCGTTGCAAATTTTGTAAAGTACGCAAACGGAATATAGTAACAAATTGATACAAATTACCGAGAACTCGAACTGATATATTGTTGATAGAAAAACGTTCTAAAAACCCATACAATTTTATTCTGATATTCAAATTTGCCATTTAGCTCTTTTTTATTTAAAACATATCAATTATTACAAGTCAATAACTTTCTTCCAACTTCCTCAGATACTTCATTTACGAAAAATTAGAATGGCAGGATCGTTTTTCTTTAAATCGTTCCACAGAGGGCATGGTTAAAGTCATCGAATGGTACATGACGGAGCATTATAGACCATTTTAACATTCAAACATGTCCTTCAGATTTCAAATTTTTTTATTTCGAAAATTCATTAAAAACTTTCATTACATTGATGTCTAAATCAAATGTTAATAACTTTAAAGTATTTTTAATAAATGTATTATTTAATACATGACAAAGGCATCCAAACCTCATATCAAATGGATGAGAATTATCTATTAATTCCCTTAATATCAATTCTATAAGTAGAATAATTGTCTATGGTCATATTTATACCTATAAAATTATGGTAAAATACAAAAAAAAGTACAAAAAGAAGTACAAATACTAAAAAGAAGTACATTTGCGTACTTTTTTAGTGGTTATGCAGTTAAAAGTACAATTACTAAAAAAAAGTACGCGTACTGCTGAAAACAGTACGTCTGGCAAGCCTATGCTAGAATCATGAAACTTTGTAGGAATACTTATGTTTGGTATACTAATATTTATGGGCGTGTCATCTCTCATACAAAGTTGATTATCTAGGAGACTATATAAACTAAAATATTTAAATTTTGTTTGAAAAAGAACAATATCAATGTAAATAATTGAAACAAAGGTGGGTGAACCAGCAATAGCAGGCGTGCACCCCCATACACATTTTTGGAACTATAAAATGCAGAGCCCTCATATGCTGTACAATAAACTATACCACTAATATAGATATTTCAAACTTTAATATTAGGACCAGCCAATAATTGGGGTTTGCCCCATAAATAACTTTAAAAGTTACAGTTATCAAATACTTTACTAATAATGTTGCTATCGAAATGTATGTGTATGGGCAAAAAATGCTAGCAATAATGGAGGAGGCCTATAAATATGAAAAATCCTATATCTTTCTATGAATATATAGTTTTTAAGTGTATCAAAGAATGTTATGTATACATATATTTATATAAATATAAGGAGGACTATATTTCATTGATGCACCAGGAGGAACCGGAAAGACTTTTCTCATCTCATTAATTTTAGCTTAAATTCGTTCACAAAAGAATATTACCTTAGCCATTGCGTCATCAGGTATTGCAGCAACACTTTTAGATGGAGGCAGAACTGCGAATTCTGCACTCAAATTACCATTGAAAACACAATTTTTGAAGATTATACATGAAATGTTAAGAAAGATTCTTCAATGCGTAAATCCTACAAATAGTGTGGGATGAATGCACCATCGCCGACAAATAATCATTAGAATCGCTTGATTGCACTTTAAAGGACATGAGAAGTAATTCTAACTTATTTGCCTGAAATCATCATATCTCTGGCAACATGTTCACACGTTAAAATTGACAACAAACATGCGTGTACAGTTGCAAAATGATGATTCAACTTCAGGTTTTGCAAAACAATTGCTGGATTTAGGAAATTGATAAATGTCAATTGACCACCACCCAAACACAAATTGTGTAAAGTATCGCTCTAACTTTCGCAGGATCACACAATCAAAGGAAGAACTAATAAATTGTATTTTTCCAGATCTTCAACGTAATTTCAAAAATAGGTGGTTATGTGAGCGTGATTTACTGGCACCCAAAAACATAGACGTTAATTGTATCAATAATATTATTTTGAATAGAATCGATGGTAATTTAAAAACATATAAATCCATCGATGCAGTTACAAATATTAATGATGTCGTCAATTATCCTGTAGAATTTTTGAATACACTTGATTTACCAGGCTTTCCACCCCACGAATTGAAGTAGAAAATTGGCGTTCCAATTATCTTATTGCGAAATATTGATCCACCACGTCTTTGTAACAGTACTCGATTAACAGTTAAGAAATTAATGAACAACTTAATCGAACTAACGATAATAACTGGCCAATATAAAGGCACGGATGTCTTACTACCTCGGATCCCAAAGACAACATCGGAAATGCCATTCGACGTGTTTTAGCTAGTATGTATATAAAATCCAGTTATGCCGATTTTTTGGTGATGGACCAATTTAAACCATATTTCATCAAATAATCTTGAAAATTGCCACCTGTCACGTGAGCACAAAGTTTACATTGTCCCTTCCCACTATAGTGGTGTAGGGTTTAAAATAATTCTGAACATGGGGTTGAACTTGGTGTGATAATCTATAAGAATTATTTTATGTTCTCGATAGGGAAATATTATCCAGATTATAAAGCCAAACATTAATGAAAGTTCCAGTTTATGGTATCCCTAACAAAATTTCTTCCTTGCGCTTACTATACATCACTACATTTAATTTTCTCATTTGCTTAAACAATTCAATTGATAAATATTTTTTTATAAACGCTTTTAGTTTCAATTAAAGTATAAATACTATTATGCATATTTACCTGTAAGTTTTTTATATTCAAATAAAAACGTGTTAAAAATGATTTATCCTCATAAGTCATATATGCCGGTCCATAGCGTTGTATACCCGCAACATTGTACACGATTCCATTTGTAAGATAAAGTCCAGCTTCGTATGTTAAGAACAGGGGCTTCTGAAACAAATAGTTTGAAATATGTTGTTCTTGTTTTGGTTGACGAAAAACGTCATTTTATAATGCGTTACGTACCACAGAGAGATTCTCTTTAATGTCGGGTAGTTGTAAATGCTCTATTTGAAGTTTTTGCAAATGTTCCAATAGCAAAGGAATAACTGTATCAACTTCTTCATTTATTATTGACCAGCCAATTTCAGCATCGTCTTCATTGTCTCTTCGATGTCTTGCTTTTAATTCACTTTTCAAGCTTTGATTAAAATTTGCATTTGGATGTCGTAAAATATCCATCTGTCTATCGATATGAGAAAAAAAGTACACAATGTAGTAGGATTGACATTTGATGGGGTTATTTGGCAAATATGTGGAAATGTGTTTGCACTAAATATATGTTTATTAAATACATAAATACATACACTATACTATATTTATACCCTACACCACTTTAGTGGGAAGGGTATTATGCGTTTGTGCTGATGTTTGTAACGCATTAAAATATTGGTACTATACCCACCTTAAATTATACCGATCGACTCAGAATCATTTCCTGAGTCAACTGAACACCCCGAAAAGGGCTTTTGTGCTCATAATTATGTATTATATAAATGTATCTCGATGAAAGATCGCGTATAAATCAGTAACTTAGTTGAATCTCAACCTATGTTAAATTTCTCAACGGATTAAAAAGTGAAAGCTGAGGCCTTTATAATGATATATACGATATTTAACTAACCTGCTTTGCAGAAGATTTTACAAACTGTTTTATATAAGAAAATCGTACTATTTATTAAGTATTAGAAACAGCCGACTATCGGGCTTGACGTTGTGCTTATGGCACCACGTGTACCTAAGCAGCATGTACACTGAACTCCCTGTTATAGTTTGATATTACACTTTTTGTCGAAAGAAGTCAACCATATTATTGAAGAATAAGCTAGGATTAATCTAATTACACTAATTATAAAACCAATATATCATAGTAGGACTAAGACCCCATTTCATGCCTATTTTAGATTTTCATTCACATAAGTCCCTGAATGCTTAGTTTTGAGTTTCTATGTTTAATGTAATTGAAAACTCAAAAAGTACCAGTTGAAGAACGAAAAAGTTCTCTTTTCTTTTTACTCCGTATTGGATTGTAAGAAAGCTTTAACTGAATACTCTCCCAGAGGTAAGGTTCACATCATATGGGTACCAGGCCACTCGGGAGTAATCGGCAACGAAAGGGCGAATGTAATAGCTTTAAAGGGAAGGGAGCTCGGTGTAGTTAACCTGACAAACGCAAAACCATTCGACGCAACAAAAGCTGAATTAAAAATATGGATGAGAGAATCCCATAAGGCCTCTTGGAATAATGAAACGGTGGGTAGAACCACAAAGATTCTATGGGGTGACCCTGATGAGAGCAAGACGAGAAATCTTCTCAAAATGAGCAAATCTGAGGTTAGTATGATGGTACGTATTCTGAGTGGACACACAGGATTACGAGCACACCTATACAAAATTGGACGTGCGAATTCAGACGAATGTAGAGCATGTGGAGAGGACAGTGAAACTCTGGAGCACTTTCTTTGCCATTGTCAGGCATTCGTCGAAGTTAGATCCAAGTATCTTGGAAGTGATGTTATTCCGGAAATAACATTCTTAACCAACACCGATTGGAAGATTCTTAGGAATTACGTCCAGGAAACTGAGTTTCTGAACATGGAAAAATAATACATTTAGTGAACAATTTTTTTTTTTTTTTTTTTTTTTCTCTTGAATTGGAGCGCACAACAGGCCCGATAGTGGCCTAGGTGTATTTCTTCGGATTTGATGTAGTATACATCCTCCTATCAACCTAACCTAACCTTTTACTCCGAGCTCTAAATGCCTGATTTTATGTCTCTAGGTTCAATATTATAGAAAATTCAAAAAGTACTTATTGAAGAACAAAAAAGTACCAAAAATTCTTCGTTTATACGCTTTCATTTACTCCGGGCTCTACATGCTTAATTTCATGTTTTCATGTTCAATATTATAGAAAACTCAAAAAGTACTGTTTGAAGAACGAAAAAGTACCAAAAAGTCCTCTTTTATAGGTTCTCATTTACTACTGGCTCTACATGCTTAATTTCATGTTTCTAAGTTCAATATTATTGAAAACTCAAAAAGTACCAGTTAATGATTGAAAAAGTACCAAAAAGTCCCCTTTTATGGGTTCTCATTTACTCCAGTCTCTACATGCTTAATTTCATGTTTCTAGGTTCAATATTACAAAAAATTCAAAAAATACCTTTTGAAGAACGAAAAAGTAACAAAAAATCCCTTTTTATACGTTCTCACTTACTTCGGGCTCTACATGCTTAATTTCATGTTTCTAGGTTCAATATTATAGAAAATTCAAAAAGTACATTTTTGAGAACGAAAAAGTATCAAAAAGTTCTCTTTTATAAGTTCTCATTTACTCCGGACTCTACATGCTTATTTCATGTTTCTATGTTAAATATTATAGAAAACTCAAAAGAGTTAAAGAACGAAAAAGTACCAAAAAGTCCCCTTTTATGGGTTGTCATTTACTCCGGTCTCTACATGCTTAATTTCATGTTTCAAGGTTCAATATTATAGAAAATTCAAAAAGTACCTTTTGAAGAACGAAAAAGTACCAAAAAGTCTCATTTCATAGATTCTCATTTTCTCTGGGCTCCACATTCTTAATTTCAGGTTCCTAGGTTTGATAGTATAGAAAATTCAAAAATTACCTTTAAAGAACGAAAAAGTATCAAAAACTCCCCTTTTATAGATTCTCATTAACTCCGGGATCCACATGCTTAATATCATGTTTCTAGGATCATATTATAAAAAACACAAAAACTACCAGTTAAAAAACGAAAAAGTACCAAAAATAGTCTTTTGCACCGGAGTTCCAAGTAACACCCCATTGGTATATTTAGTGTTACTAAATCTATCAATTTCTCCAATTTTATTAAAATTAGGTTAGTGAGTTTGAATAAAATAAAATTTACCGTTTTTCCCCCTTTTCGGTGCTCTTTTCTCCGTATTGAAGTGATAAACATTTTATTATAAAAAGTTGCAATGTCATAGTAGGAGCCCATCATTAAGTATCCATACACATGTTAATACAAATCAATACATTGAAAACAATGTTTTATGCAAAAAGTACCAAAAATAGGTACAATTTTCACCCCTTAAACGTCAGAATACGAACAAAAGTACTAAATTTGTATTTTTATTTTTTCGTTAGATTATGAAGGAGTCAAAAATATTTTTTGTATGTTCATTGGTTTAAAAGATACATGTGGTCCAAAAAAAAGTACCAAAATACAGTTTTTATCCGTTTATTACCTAAAGGGAATTTGAAAAAAATACCAGACTCCTGTCCGTTTATTTTTTAAATGAACGACAATATGCTTTAAACTTTGTTTGTATCTTTTCCAGCTTAGGAGATATGTGGTTACCGAAATTACCCGTTTTAGCCTTTTTTACCCCCTAAACATTCGAATTTTCAAAAATGCCGTCATAGTGGATCTTTTTGGTGGGAGACCAACCTCCTGTCCAAATTTCAGCTCTTTTGCTTCAAACGTTTAAGCTGTGCGATGATGAATCAGTCAGTCAGGGAGTCAGTATCTTTAGAAGTATATATATATAGATGATATAAGATATTTTACCAAAATGACCCGAAAACAAGATAGTAGTAATAATAAGTAAACTTTTTTTTTAAAATGAGTCATTAACCCTATGTACATTTATTTACAGTTTTATAGTACTTACCCGAATTTGTCGTTCGACTCAACCGTATTTAACAGCGTTAGAACCGGCAAAACAATTAACAAATTGTTTACAAACATTTCCACTTTTAGTTGTTTTTATTGACAGAAATAAAAATGATAAATGCCAATTTACAAATAAATGAAATAATTAAAACAAGCACAACGTTGTCCGCTTTAAAATAATTCTAATGTCAGCCGGGATCACTTTAGAACATTTGAAGCTTTTAATAACTTGATGATTTCACAGCGAAGAAAACACGTACACACGGACTTATTCGCATGTATCAAGTATAGTACGTTCTCAATGAACTGAGATTATAATTTCCACTGAAATATTATAAAAAAAACATACATTAAATGAATAAATAAAATAATATTAACATGCTTAGAGAAAATATAAACAATTTAATATTCTACTTGCAAACTTAATATTAATCTTGATATTTATAAGTGCAAGGTAATTATTAAATAAATCGCTTTTGTAAATTTTCTACAGTCAAGGGCGACTAAAAAATTTTATTAATTTTATAGAAACAAATAAATTACTTTTTTTTAAATCTAAAGTATCATTTTAGTTTCCCAATTATTCTAAGTAATTAACATACATACATACATATATGTATGTGCAGTTAATCTCAAAAATAAATATACAGAAATACTGACAATTGGATATTATTTTTTCAAAAATCAAAAAAGTAACACATTTATTTATTAAAAACAATTATGATAATTATTATTCACTACTTTTTTCTGGGTTATTTTGGTTACTTGAGTTCTCATTTAAGGTGTAGTTAAGGTGCAAAATTTACGTCACAAAAGTAAGTATACAGATAATTTATGTATGTATGTATTTGGTTAATGATATTAACAAAATTCATGAAAATTTTAGCTGTTTGAATGTAATTATTTTATAATAAAATATTTTGTACACATGGAAAAAATTCACTTTTTGTTCCGAAAAATTTAAATTTTTGGTAATTGATCTGAATATTATTTATAGGAGCATTTTTTCCTATTTAAGAACATCTGACTATTTAAAACCCCGGAGTTTTGGATCGGGTATTCAATAATATCCCTCGTTTCTTCATTATGATACATTGGAAGACAATATTTTAACTTTTAAATTAATTGTTTCTTTACAATAATTACAATCCATTGCGGAACATTGCCGTTTTTAACATAGTATAGCGTTCATATTCGATATTTAACGGCGATTTCCTAAAATTTATATCTTAAAATGCGATATTAATAATATTTGTACTAGTATTTATTAATTAAAACAAGTTTTTTGGTTTCAATCATCCATTACACACTCCTAAATACTACCAATAATCGTCAAATGGTGACCATGTCAATAACTTACACTACATATCGGTTCTGAAATTGATTATTGCCCAAAATAGTAAGATTTTTATATTAAATCAGGCTCAATTGGTGGTATGAATACGAATTGAACAATTTTGAACACGGATACATCTTAATTTGTTGCTAGACCAAATAAAATGCCCGATCCATAAAACATGGTTATTGTATCGAGTATATCAAGATTTGATTGGTAGCATTATTGTATGCTTTGGAAATCGGAGTATTTGTAAAACCTGTTTAAATTAAAGAAAATATATAGAATTATCCAAATTTTAAAGTTTATGTTGTAAGTCTTAAGAAATCAGAGTTAAATTTTGGGTTTTTGGAACGTACTGTGTTCAAGATGGCCAAATCCATGCATATAACATTAATTTCGAAATAACAACTCTTTTCAAAAGTTAAAAATTCTATTTCCAATGCATCATTTGGAGGGTTCAATGACCACCAGATCCAAAATCCGGGGTCTAAAGTGGAAAAAATCGTAGAAATGAGAAAAAACTGTTCTACTAATTAATTCCGGAGCCAATCGGCCCAAATTTCAAGATTTCGGAACTAAAAGTAGATTTTTCCAAGTTATTGTGTAAAAAATATTTTATTAAAAAGTAATTATATTAATTAATTTTCATAAATTTTGCACCTTTTTAACTTTAGCTTAAATGAGAACTCAAAGAACCAAAATATGAAGAAAAAAAGTAGTGAATAATAATTAATTTTATAATTATAATAATATGTTTTTTTAAATAAAACCAATAGTCAGTATTTCTGTATACTTATTTTTGTGATTAACTGTATGTATGTATACTATGTACGATAAGTAATTCAATTTATTAGATTTTTTCTACGACATTCACTTATGGTACGTTCACACCTATCAAATATTTGACCAAACTACGTAAATGTTTTTTCGAACTTACATGATTTTTGTAATTTGTAAATTATAGGAGCCCAAAATATCGATTTTGTTTGGATGGGCCTTATTTTGTTCATTATTGTCTAAAAATAACTGGTGTTAAATTTTAGCCCAATCGGATAACGGCCTTAAATATAAAAGATAGAATAATGATTCCAGCTCTGATTTAATCACTATTAGAATTTTTTTTATATTTACGAAATTAAAAAAATATTGAGCATCATAACTAAAAGTGACATAGACTTCTTTAGCTTGAAGGAAATTGTATTATATAAGCGTCTAAGTACACTATGAATATTTTTGGAAGTTCACTTATAACATCCTTGGTCAACTAAAATATCACAAAAAATTTAAAAAAAATCTAACATAAACGTATAAAGAATATTGATTTATGAAATATAATTGCTGTGTTAGATATAATTATTCGAGCCTTTGAAGAAGCTTCGAAGAGACTAGAGGGAGAGAAATATCCAACAATTTATTTGGTCTAGATTTATGTAAACATTGAATTGTATCGAGTTCATAAAAAGTCTAATACAGAATTGTGAGCCTATCACAAAACCACAAATTTTATTCGACCACCTAAATTTCAAACCAACGAGAAATAAGTGGCGACTGAGTTGAGATGATACGGAAACACAGAAGTGTACTTTTTGATGATTTCGACACACTTAAGGGTTGGGATTCTCATAAGAATGATTTCCCCTTTTTACACAAATTGAGCTGCCGAATTTCAGTGTACCAGCAAATAGAGCGCCGTCAGAACGGCGATATGATATTGCAGCAAATCAAATTATCTTACACATGAATCACAAAAAAACACGCATTTCCAGTGCTATATTTCATATTTTCCACCTTACAGTAGTTTTGTTTACATCTCTAAATAAAAATCAAATACAATTAGTATTACATGAGTTACATTAATAAAATATACATGTAAACAATAATGCGTTTTATTTGTAGTCTCTCTGTTAAAATTCATTAATTTGTTCAAAGAATTGCATTCTAATTGAAACACGTTATAAATCCTTCTATGATTCGACCCACTTGTTGTTTTGCACTCGATTTGAAACACAAAAACACTCTCATTACTCATATCATGGCTATACGCTTTACTTTCATTTATTTAGCTTTATTTGAGTTTTTCGTCGAACACATTTTTGTTTTTTTTGAATATATTATTACATACAGTGTCTCTCATAAGTATTCGAATTTAGGTAAACTATGAAAAGAAACCAAATTTAATAATATATTTTGTGTGCAAAAAAAATTAATTTGTTATATTGTCTAGACAGTCCTTAGGTTTGATATCACGCTTTTTAAAACTTGAAAAATTTACATTTACTTAATTTAATTTAGCCTTTTTTAAAAAAGTCCATAAAATTGCCTCACAAAAGTATACGAATTTTTCCTGTTGTTCATATTTGAGCATGTTATACGAAACACAAATTTTAGAATCGGCTGGTTTTTATGCTTTAAATCGTTTTAAGGGGTTACTATCAACCGAAATGATATATTTTTGGCCCATTTGGTCCACAATTTTTGGGGATTTGTACCCTCTTTTTATGTAATACCATTAAAATGGCGATTTGTGGCAATATTTTTAGTATTTTCTCTTTTTTTCCAGAGATAAGACCAACGTTTGATATTGGGATTTAATAGACCCCTTGGAGTATCTAAAAATAGCATTTTTTGTTACAAGAATCTGTATTTAAACGATCCAAGATATATTATTGATATCATTATTCTGTCGCTAATTCAATATATTGGAACTTAAGTCCATTTTCATAATACTAGGGTCAAAAATTTTCGGGGAACGTTTTCTTGTATATATTCTTTTAGATATCAGCTTTTATATATTTTAAGTTTTCAATGTATTGTGGAAGTGTACAACTCCAAAACATGCCTCGAAGAAACACCATTCAATGGTAGTATCATTATTTTTATATACCAATGACCTCCAGGCTACATGCCACTATATCATTATGGTCTAACTCAAAAATATCGATATCTGTTTAAATATTGATTACTATGATCAAAATAAACCCAAAATTTTGGACTTATATTGTTATTGTAATGGGCAACATAAGCGTGAAAGTTACGAATAGTAAAAACTCAAATCTACTGTATAGGATGACGTTTTGTTAAGGCATGTTTTGGAGTTGTATACCGATATAATGTATTGAAAATTTAAAATATATTAGTGCTAATATGTACATGAATGTATACTAGCCAACTTTGTCGGAAAATATCGGCCCTAGTGGTACGAAAAGGGACTTAAGATCCATACAATTCAATTAGAAACAGAAGAACGATACCAAAAATACATCTTGGAACTTTAAGTACAGATCCTTATAACAAAAATTATTATTTTTAGATACCTCAAGGGGTCTATTAAATCCCAATATTAAAGTTTGGGTTTATTTCAGAAAAAAAGAAAAAAAATTGCAAATATGGTCATAAATCGCCATTTTAATGATATTACATGAAAAGGTGGTACAAATGCTCCAAAATTGTGGAACAAATGGGCCAAAAATATATAATTTCGGTCGATAGTAAACCCTTAACACAATTTTAAGCAAAAAACCACTCGATTATAATTTTTGTGTTTCGTATAATATGGTCATATATGAAATACAGGAAAAATTCGAATACTTTTGTGAGGCAATTTTATGGACTTTTTTTAAAAAACGTTAAATCAATTGAGGTAAATGTAATTCTTCCAAATTTGAAAGAGTGTAATATTATACCTTAGGACTCTCTAGACAATATAACAAATTTAAATATTCATTTCACAAACAAAAAATATTATTAAATTATGTTTCTTTTCAAAGTGCAACCAAATTCGAATACTTATGTGAGACATTGTATATTTATTCAAAAAACGATAAGTGAATCAAAAGCAGAACTTGAAAAAAATTTAGTGTTTTATGCAGAATTCAGAAAGAAAAGAAAATAGTTTTTAAAATTTTATATGAAAACTACATTCTCAGTTTTTGTTAGTGTTTCCATACAAATTTTAAATATTGTTTTACATTCTTCTTTTTGAATA